CAATAGAATGTCATTTCTGTAAGTATATTATTGAGGTTATTAAATACAGAACTATCAGATTTACACACGGACAAAAACGTGATATATTACACGTCACTATAACACACAAAAGTTACGACATTTGTCTCTCTGACAGTTCATGACTACCATCAAAGAGACAGCATTCACAGAAAACCTATTAGTCAACAAGCACAAGGCTAAGGTGTATTTACATGGACTTTACAACCGTTTCCAACATTCAAATCCATCTCCACTATTCTCAATTTGATTGTAAAAAAAGATAATAAAATTCCTCCTACCAGGGTAATCAGCTGTCTGATTCTATTGACACAGAGATGATAATACCACAAAAAGCATTAAACATAGTTGGGATTATGGAAACAGAAACCATAATATGTAAAACCTATTACCAGTGCTTGTGAAAACATGAAAAATGGGTTTAAGTGATTTGCTCTCGGCAATCCATTTTTCTCTAAGTTAGTTCCCTTGTTTATACCTGACCCTTTCATGTACAAGGGAGACAAAGCTCAATTTAGCCAATTATCATCAATTACATTGGTTTTGGCCTGATTGTATCTATAGAATGCACACCTTCGTGACAGTTTAATTTGTGTGGCCGGTGATTTAATCACACCATCACCTCCGACTACTTATTGACCAGTCTACTCGCTCCCAACAATTATCCGTGGAGTGATCCGTCCGATACACCTCAGCCAGGTAAACTTTATCACGCTCTGGGATGGCAATTAGTCTAAACGGTCTGCAAAATACATCTATGTTGCTTGTTATAAGACTACTTACTAGTGGAATGAGGCCCCATTTAATCACTTAGAAAAGCAACAAAACTTAACATCATGTTCGAGAGATAAGAGGAGGGAATGCAGATTAATCGAAAATCTTCCTGTGACTCACTGAATTGGGGATTTCCGATTAATTTCAAAGCTTCGGATTCTGTTTTTTTATCCTCCTTACAGAGATTAAGAGAAATTGCCAAAATCCACATTTAAAGAAATGAAAATAATTTTGATAAATCAATATGAACCTTGGTAATTGTTTTGAATTTATCAATTTCTGCAAAAATACTAATGCTGTTTGTACTCATTGCATTGATTCATTCTAAAGTTATTTGTGGATTTCTGTATCAACGTTTTGTTCCAGGAAATTAATGAAATCATGTGGCTATTTTAGTGAAATATTGAAACTGTCATTAGAAACTTTGAACATGAATGATAGGGAAAGGAGAGTTGACTAGGAGAACAAAGCTAGAAGGGCATTTCTACCCAGCACAAACAGTAAAAACATTGACCCAAGCTTCTCAAAAGTTCAGATTCAGCTGATATCTCAAATAAATGAGACAAATACACATTTATCAAAAATAACAAATGTCTATGCACTTAAAACAACAACAAAATGCATTTTGAGAGTCAGCAACACTTACCATAAATGTTGAGTGTTGACCTGTGCCTGAACCCTGTGGGGAACATGGAATTTGACAGTGAAATATACACTGCTTGGAATGAGTTAGTCTATTGGTCCTCTTATCAGTCTGGTAGATAAAACCTCAAGCTATGAATTGTATCCACCCTGGTCATTTTCAATAAATATACCCCTAATGAGACTTTAATTGATCCATGTTCTCTACTCTACAAAAGCCTGATAAAAATCCAGCAAGTTTATCAGGAAAATTTATCAGCTTTGAAGTTCTTGCCTCTTTTTGCACTTGCCTGATTACATTAGACCAGAAATAGATATATAAGACAGAGTACCTTCAACTCTTTCTCTCATTGTTGATTTTTCAAATTATATCAACATCGTGTATATTGTAGTCCCCAGTGTCAGCCATGTTGGAGGAGTACCCTGTCCTCTGGCCACCCCAGGACACAGGAGTTGAGAAAGAAAATTTGTTTTCAGTATTTTTACTCATAATTGATGTTGGCATCTGCTATCTTGGATAAATGAGTTATATGGTCTACATAATAGTTAGCTGGGACAGTGTACTGGAGATAAGATTGGAACAGTTAGATAGAGATCTGGACAAGTTACTGGGTAATACAACAGTGGTCTTAATCACAACAGTCAACAATCTAGACAAATGTTGTCAGGGCTAGCATCATAAAGACATCTTTACAATGAAAACTCTTTACACACGAAATTGCAGGAAATGTATTCATGTCAGAAGATATGATTTGAAAGTAGCTTTATAAAAAACATCCAATGTAAATGTTACTCATTGAAGATTGCCTTTAATAACTGTTTCGCTTCTTATAATAAAAAACATCAGTGTTTGTATACAAACATTTAAATTTCATTTTATACCATTGAAATAAGTGTCTTTTATAATTTTTATCATCTAAAACATGGTAGCTAAGGGTAAATGACAACTTTATCACACTACTTAATTTATAGGAATAAAAACCAGATTTTGGTTTTTCTAATTCAATTTCCCCATGTAATGAAAAAAAGATGAGAACGTACCAGCCCCTATTAACGTATTCTGTGTTTTACCTCACAGGCTGAGTTTACAGCCTGTAGAGAACTCCTGAGGGTAGATTAAATTCCCTTTCTGTTGCTTTAGGTTTGATAAAGAAATCGTTCAAGTGTCTTTCAGACGTCACACCTGTATAGGATTTGTTTGCTCTTAATAGAAGTCCATTGATGTTACGCCACGTTAATCTGCTGCATTTTGACTTCTTACCTGCTATGCAACACAGCGAATCCATACTGACATGTATATAAAGGTCTGAGCTCTTCAACGTTTCACAGAAATCTTGAAAGCACTTATTGATTTTTAAAGAGGCACATATTTGACCCTAGATATAGAATAGTTGTGTGCTGGATTGACTTCATTTGAAAAGCAATCTTCAGACATGCTTTCCCATTTCTGTCATGGCTTCCAAAGTGGCTCCGAGATTTGGTTTAGAGGTTATCGAGGAAGGACCTGACAATGGGACGTCTTGACACGATTCCTTTAGTGATAAACTACCTCTTTTCAGCTGATGGCACTACAAAGAAGACTTTGGGTCCATTGAACACCAACAGCACTTGCTCCTAACTGATAAAGCTAATGCAGCGCATTGTTCTGGATCAAGGAAAAAATATTGGACAGCTTAGTGTAGAATACCATAACAAGTGACATGGATTTAGGTGATTTGTTTATGAACACAGCCTGGTTATGTAGGGGCACTGTACTACCGTGTTGACAGTGACTCAAGGAGAACTCACTAATACCCATTGATTGGCGGAGTACAAACACATTCAAAATTTCATGTAATAAACACCCATTTGAATAGAGGCGAACATGGTGTTTAGCTATCAAAGCTACCCTAACGTCCACAAATCAGGCTTACTTTTCGATGTTTAGTTGGCCTTTTGCATGTATCAGAGTCCTTATGGGGATAGCAAATGAAGCCTTCAGTTGAGTACAATGTAGAAATTACATCGGGAACAATGATGGAATGTGTTAATTGTCAAAAAGATGTCAGAATATTTACATCTGAATCTAACTGACCATCAAATTAGGATTGTGTGATTGATATACATGTATAAACACACAAGTCATGCTATGTATTTCATGAGAATAAAGCATTAGAGTTTTCAGGGAATACAAAACTATAGCTTGTCTTACAATCAGTTCAGGCACACTGTCACTTGTACTTCACATGGTTGTCATCAGTTTTAAAGGTAGAACATTTCTAAAATTCTGTTGGGGGGAAAAAGTCTGATGAAAGACATCAATAACTGCCTTGTTAGACACAGGGGAGACAGAGTCATGGCCTGTTCCTGGTATAACTTCCTTGTTGACCTTTGACATTTTCTTATCGTAGGTTTTTTGGACAATATGAATCTGATATTTTGGGATATCAGCCTTCAGTAGTGACACCAAGGTGTCTTTTTCTGCCTGTGACCTTTGAAGGAGCAAGCAAAGAAGATTAAAATTTACTCAAAGAATGAGAAATTATGGTCACTTGTAACAGTGATAAAACTAGACTGGCATGAGGGTGGGTAGTGGCTGGGCCGTGTTTATAGGAGTTTTACGAGGCCCCAGCTGGGTAGGAGATAGTCTATCAGTGTCTCACTAGGGCCCCACTCCATAAAATCTGTCCCTGGTCCAATGCTGATTAATTTTAACAAAAGTAAAATTTATACACCAGCTGTTTCAACAAGCGAAAACAAGAGAAATTTATTGTTATGCCCCAGGATAAAAAAATGATGAGATAGTGAAGTTTGTGTATGTTTGTCAACTCTTCAGTTAATCTTAGCGATCAGGATATATCCTGATAAATCAGTGTACTCAAGATCACCCCTCACCCCTACCCCATTGTGACCTGCTCATCAAAGACACCATAATTCAATATAAATTGATTTCAAAGGAATGTGCTGGTCTTCATAGAAATATGCTCTTTGTTTCACCTGAGTTAGATACAACATCCTGTACTCCTTCTGTGACAGTCTATTTACATTAGTCTTTCTGACCTCTCAGACAAGTTGTATGTATCTGTCAGCTTACCTACTGCACAGAAATATGATCAGTGTCACATGTAGTGTAGGACCTATCAGAACACATGTTACACATTTTTGCATGTATAATGTTGCCGTTTTTGCCACAAAGAGCATACTGTAAATTAGCTGACCTCCTTGCTTTGTGTGCCAGGCCCAAGCCTTTTCTATGACATATGGTGCCAGTGTTGGGGGTTGTTCAGTGTTCACAGACTGATATCTCTTTGACATGGACAGGCCTGGGACCATCCTTTCTCTAGAGAACATGCAACCTTCCTGCCAATGAAACCTTGTCTCTCATGACAAGTTCAATTTTCTTTGAATCAGGACACAAGACATGAAAACTTCCTTGGTGAGAGGTTACTCTTTAGTTCAGTCTCACATATGATTTCACTATTACAAGAGTAAGTTTGTATTGATGTTTGTATTGATGTTTGTATTGATGGTATTGATGTTTGTACTGATGGATAGTTGTTACATATGTATCCTGTTGTATGTTTCAGTTTTCACCGCTGGTCCAGGACACGGTACTCCAGGGAACGTTTAACGCCACCCTCAACAATCCCATAGCCACACAGGTGGACACTGCTATCCACGCCACCAACTCTGCAAAACATGCTTTCCTCCTCGGGGTGTGACCCTGCCCCCAAACAACACCCTCAGACAGACATCTTGTGATACACCAAGTTCTTAACATGCTTTATTGGAAAGAAGAGAAGATTGTATCAGCTTTTCAGAAAACAATGAAACAGAATTGCTGATGGAATCAAGAAAAGCGTTGCTGGAGAAGTTGGGGCATTAGAAGAACTGTAATGATGTATTCCTGTATTTTATACCAGAAACATGTCTGTGTTGTGAAAGTAACATATATGTATGAATGAAAATGATTTTTTAAAAGTAAATTACAGAAACGTAAAGTCTACACTACAGTATTGATAGCTCATGCTGAGCACTTAAACTGCTGAGTTTGTACCATTTCACACTCTATCTGTATAACATAGGGGTTCTGTGATAAAATCCTCTTCTCTGGTAATCTTCTCACATTTGTAAATATGTCTTTGTCTTAGATGAATAATTGATTCTCTCCTACCTAAGATAATTCCCCAATGCTTGCAGCATTTTAGTAATGTGTTTTATTAAAGAGGCACTTCGCGAGATTATTCTTTTTTATCAATTAATGCTTTTAAGTTGTGTAATACAAATATTATACATTTAGAAATCTCTTTTATAGCAGCAAGTAAACTGGCTATAAACTTACTTAAACTGTTATATATTAATTTTCTTCAACTACATCATCACATGAAAATATCTTACATTCTCATAAATGTCCATTGCCCACATAGTAAGTATTTCATTGGTAACAGGCCGTTACTACTGAGTAATCACACGGTCTTACCCTTGTACATTTGTATAAGCAACTTGTGTCTGTGATATTTTGTACGATTTTTGTGTTTTTAAATTATATTCTTGTGTATCACTGTAATTAAAACCAGTGTTTATGACATGTAGTGTCCCAGGGATGAGGGTTCAGCCAGGTTGTGGTGTCAGATGCTGGCATCACTAAGGTATCACTGGAAGGTTTCATACAACTTAATACACAGTACAATCAGGACATTGGAACAATCCTGTAACACATCCAGTTTAAAACCCAAACATCAAACCCAAAATTTTGATACTCTAATTTTGTATACCACTTTTTGAAATTTTATTGAAAAAGATATACAAAATTGTCTTCTCATATTCACAGTTACAAAAGAAAAGTTTATGAGGACAGAGTTTGTAAGGAGTATTGATCGTGTGCGACACTGGCAGTATATTTTGTAGGTGTCTGGTACTCTACCTGACAGTGGGTGAGAAATCCACGTCAGTCATCCCTCACTAGTCGTCCCCCACCAGTTCATCTGTTTGTGCTGTGCTGGTATTTCAATCATGTTGACCAATATTAGCTCTATTAGATATTATATTTCTATTATTTTCCTATGAATGTGGAAAAAATATGGATGAAATAAAGAATAAATTTGAAAAAAAGAAAGGTTATTAGTTTTGTTGTTTATTGTGTAATTTTGTGTGGTCTATTATGATATGATGGATCATAAGTCAGATGCCACAAATTTTCTGAATAATTTGGGCATCAGATGTATAAATTCCAGGAAATACATGATTATGCACTGAACGGCTAGATGTAAATAGGGAGGGTTTTTGGTGACAAGATAATCAACCCAGAAGTAAAACATTACCAATATGGCCCAAATATCGAGTGACCCTCATGCCTCCGTACAGACCAGATACACAAATGAATGGTGTCCCTAATTATGGTACCTACCACTGATACATGACAGATCAAAAGATCTAGTACTGCTGCTCATGTACAGGCTTCACCTGGAAATGTGTGGCCAGCCATGCAGACTTGTTACAAACTCTTGTTGACAGCAAATGAGGGAGATATGAAGTTTGGAGAGCCATGTTATGCTGTGTATAAATGTATACACTGTGTGTGATGGAATATCAGTCTGTAACAGTTGTATATTATAATGTATATTGTGGGGTTCAATAGCTGCTGTTGGCGGTATTTCTGGTAGCATAGTGTCAGATTGTTGTCTGGTATTACTGGTACATGTGTACTGTACTACTGAAATATTCAGACATGCACAAATGTAGCAGTGATGTAATCTGTAGACAAATAATGGTACGTCTCATCATCAGTCATAATATACACGCATTCAGGAAGAATTCATCATGAGTTTGTGGAAATTTAGAAACAGTCAAACTTGTACAAATTAGATATTGACTTCCAACATCTAATAAGTAGTTAAATTTATAAAAGACATTATTCCATCTTTTATTAATAAATTTTGTTGGCCCAGATAGAAGCGTGTAGAAAGTTTGGAGTACCATGTTGTGTGATATTGTCTGCCCAGGGATGTTGCCCCTGTGTGTTGCCCTACTGTGATGCCCTGCTGTTGTCTGTGTGATATTATCTGCCCGGGGATGTTGCCCCTGTGTGTTGCCCTACTGTGATGCCCTGCTGTTTGCCTGCCTTACCAATACGAGTACCTCGCTTATCCACAACTAAATTCTGGCCACCCCAGATCAGCTCACAAATGGTCTTGTCATCCTCTGTCAATCTTATAGCACTTTATCAGACCTGAATAGGACTGTGTATACTCCCTAAACACTTAATACAGGTATACTAATTTGTCAAGGTTAACGAGACCAGCCAATAGGTTTGCGGTCACAGCCTAGGATACCTGCCCAGGTATGACATTGGAGTGTCACTCACTGTAACAAAGGACGTAGGTAACATGTCATCGTTGGTACACATGTTTATTGGGCATTAAGCTAAGAACAATTTTCATTTTATTTAACATAGAATACAACTTAATGGTTTCTTTATGGTGCCCTGAGATCAGGCTACTGATACTGAAAACAGTTCCTTTTATCTATATATGATGTATTGAGAACAAGTATAACTGAAAAATATATCAAACAAATTTTGCAAATGAGTGAAATTGGAATGTAGTAATTGGTTAAGTTGGGGTTCAGGTGGGGGCAGGGGGTTCACAGCAGGCCTAGATCCTCCAGCCTGTCGTTATACCCAGTGATCATTCCCGTGTGTGACATGGTCTCCAGTCAGGAGCAGCACATTCTCCTGTCGTCCAGTTCCCTTTCCCATTAAGTCAGGTGCTGGTATTCAAGTGACATATCAAAGATCACTTCTTTTCAACGCAGAGCTAGAAAAAAGTCAAAGTCTTCTTGTTTGGTTAAAAAATTAAATGCAAATTGAACTTTAGAAGGCTGTATGTTATCCCCATTTGTTTGCTTTCATGACTCACACTAATAGTTTGTATGATTGAGATGTTCAAACTTAAGGGAACACATTATCCACATTAGTATTCTATTTTGATCAATTAAATTGATGTCTAAATAGCATAAGATAAATTAATGACAGTCTATTTATATTAAACTTGGACTCGTCTTGGAAATCAATATATTATCTTGATAATGGAAAACGAAAAGTTTAAAACATGCATAAATGTTTTATATATTTCATTGCATTACTAGACACTTATGGTAGTTAATACAGGTATAGTGTAATGGTAGTTTATATAATACAGGTATAGTTTAATGGTAGTTTATATGATACAGGTATAATGTAATGGTAGTTTATATAATAAAGGTATAGTGTAATGGTAGTTTATATAATACAGGTATAGTGTAATGGTAGTTTATATAATACAGGTATAGGGTAATGGTAGTTTATATAATACAAGTATAGTGGAATGGTAGTTTATATAATACAGGTATAGTGTAATGGTAGTTTATATAATACAGGTATAGGGTAATGGTAGTTTGTATACAGGTAAGGTGTAATGGTAGCTTGTGTACAGGTAAAGTGTAATGGTAGCTTGTATACAGGTAAGGTGTAATGGTAGTCTGTATACAGGTAAGGTGTAATGGTTGTTTGTTTACAGGTAGAGTGTAATGGTAGATTATATACAGGTTTATACAGCCATAGTTTTTATAGCTCATTTTGCAGGTGTTTGATTCTGGAGGAAGATTTTATTTGACACCATATTTTCCAAAAAAACGGCTTGTATGTCCAAACAACAGGTATTTTATGGCATGTTGATAAATGTGAACATGGAGTTTTGATGTGGAGCCCTCGTTTACTGGACAATTTTAATGTTGTTTTGATGTAGTAGGGAAACCCTGAGGGAGGTAGGGTCTGTATATAGTCATATTTTTGTATTTGAATAAAAAGATCTATTAGCTAAACTCCAAATTACAAGATAACATCTGGGATCAAACACAGCCCACAATGTGAAATGACAGTATCGCTGAACCGCCTACCATCAACACTTGATTTGTAGGCCTCAGGTACAATATTGTCATCCAACATGACGTCCAGATTTGGTTTTTATCATTAATTCAAAATTAGTGAAATGAGTCAGACCCGTGGACAATTTTACCTGTGGGCTTCACAGGATATACTAAATACCTGTATTAGGGTTAATCAGATAATTTGTGTGGTGAGGTCAGAGGTCAACCTCCCCAGGGAGAGTCCAGTAATAGCATATAGACATAGACATGATTGAAGCCACAGATAAATTTGTATATAAACATATTTTCATAATGTCCCCATGATTTAGTTATAGTTAAGTCGAGCAAAATAATACCGGACTAACCTCATTGTGCTTCAATCTGATAATGACTATTCAAAATTCCTTTCAGCTAATTTTCAAATTGTCTTGTCTCGTTCGGAAATGACAAGTGTCTGTAAACATTAACTTAAGATATGTAATCACCAACCGCATTGGCCCACCTTAAAATTGAAAGGTATAGATGTATGTGATCCGTACCGGCTCTGATGGTTACCACTGATAACTAGAAATTGTTTGATATCCAGTCATACATGAGACATAACCTAGGCTGATGACAAGTTTGATAGGTTTCCTCTTGTTTGAATTTATTACTTGACTTATGTAAAAACAAAATCAATACATAGTTTTAAGCTGTATATGATTAATGTATTTAAAAAGTCCCACAAAGGCAAGCTATTGTAAGATATTGGTTCTGAAACACTGGTGAGTGAGAATGTCATGTAATCATTGAACTGCATGTATACAGGTATGTCTGATGTCAGGTAATCACTACATGTATACAGGTGTATCTGATGTCAGGTAATCACTACATATATACAGGTATATCTGATGTCAGGTAATAACTACATATATACAGGTAAATCTTATGTCAGGTAATCACTACATGTATACAGGTATGTCTGATGTCAGGTAATCACTACATGTATACAGGTATATCTGAAGTCAGGTAATCACTTCATAAATACAGGTATATCTGATGTCAGGTAATCACTACATGTATACAGGTATATCTGATGTCAGGTAATCACTACATGTATACAGGTATATCTGATGTCAGATAATCACTTCATGTATACAGGTATACTTGATGTCAGGTAATCATTGTTCTACAGTTGTGGGATCGCACAACGTTACACGATGTGCGGTGTGCGCACGATGTGTGCACGGTGTGTGAACGGTGTGTGCACGATGGGCGAACGATAAAAAGCTGAACGATCATTGCTTGCGCACATATGTGTGCAAGATGGATGGACGTTGTGTGATAACAATCGTGGTTGGTGTAAATTGAGGAATGCCTTAACAATTTATACGGTTTCGTGTTTAAACATATAAACTTGATGTTTACGTATGTTTCTATATTCTAGCAACGTCTATAAACTTATCTTTTCGTCTATATATTCTTATATTTAGGAATTGTGTTTTCTGTGTTTTTAATCAAACTTAATTGACACATGTAAAATTACAACACAATCCCGTATACAGGTAAACATAACCACTTTGTACATGTATCTGGACCGTAGTTTTCTCCCCACCTGGGGCATTTACGTAACTCGTCGGGTAAGGCCGGGGTGTGAAAATCCAGGTGAAGGGGAGCTATAGGCAAGCGAATGCAAATAACAAATACTATTCATTACGGTCAAACGGTATCGCATATCAGCTCTGTGTGTCAGGCACTGGTCAGGTAAAACTTCGGACACTCATAAAATTGTTATTTACCTGGTCTGTTACCTTGGAGCCAAACCCATTCTTGACAGCCTAACGGTCGCTGTAATACTGTGTAACACGCATTGTGAAATTGTATAATCTTGATTATTGTGATGAGAAATT